CACTATGAAGTCATAGCTGTTCTCTCTGCCTGTTCTTGTTTGAATTCTTTCCTGAGTATATGATTAGAATTTTTTAATTGTGTCTCACCAGCACCTGAACAATGATATTAATGTCTGTTTCTGTGTCATGGAAATTTTTTGCTTGATAAGTCTTAGGAGGCTTGTTTTTAAGCACTGTAGTGAAGAGAAGCCAACAATCAGCCTATACAAGAAAGAGGAAAGCTGTGATCAAACTATTTCAAGTAGAAAAATCCAATGAACTAGAATTATGAATATGTCTGTGGAACTAAAGAGATAAGTACAAAAGCAAAATGTTTGAAATTGTTCTACCCTAAAACTAGAGAAGCACATTATCATCAATTAAGTAAGAATATCCTGTTGTGTCAACAACGATTTAAAATGGTGTTTGTAGCATTTAAGTATAAACTTGAAAAAGCTTTCATCCTGCATAATTTAGAATCTTAGTGAATCCCGTGTTCCTGTTTTTCTAGTTTTGTCAGCTGGATCCATCCAGAAATATGATCAGAAAGCATATGACTGAAGTTTACAAATTATGAGAGCAACAGATAAGCTGAGTGTTCAACTGTTAACCAATTACTGCAATGCAAGAACTAGAGAAGACTTGAAGCAATTAGTAAGAAATCAATATAAAATAGACAAAAATGGGCAGCAAGGCGTTTCCCCAGGAGGCTGCAGAGGCAGACAGTATCAGGAAGATTAAAAAGACAAATTTATGGATATCAGGACAATAAGTAGGTGCTAAAAATGCTGTAGTCTCTAATAACCCTAGTATTACAGTTCTGGATGCTGGCATGGTACAAAGGGAAAGCAGCTTTCCCAATAGCTCTCCTGAAATTTATCTTCTACTGTCACTCTGAATACAGGGCTGGGTGAGCTGTTGGTCTGGCACGAGGGCATTTTTTAATGTCCTTGTGTTCTCCGCCCTGTTCCTTTTTGCCTAGATTCTGTGCCCCACATTAAATAAACCTAGTATCTTGTCTTGATATTCAGGTATACCTATCCTATTGTACTCAGAGGACAAGATCACCTTTCTTGGTTGTATTTCACACGCATCATTTGTTTCCACCAGTGGTTTATAATTTTCATCAACTTTAAATTAGTCATAGTTTTCTTCAGGGTTTTGTGTGAAACCAGCCTCTTACTATCTTCTCTCTCATTTTCTTGTATTTCTTCGGTTCTTTCTACATGGTTAAGAAGTCCCTTCTTACCTCTTCATTCACCTCCATTACAAGTGTACTTTCAAGGCTTGTTAGTGGTGTCCCTCTAGAGGCCTGTGAACTGGCAGTTGGCGCAGCTTCACAGGCTTGGGGAGAAGAGCAGTAAGCTATACCAGCGCAGGGAGATATGAGCATTTTTGATTAGGTACATCAGATTGTGCCACATTCCTTGCTCTAGGGCCAATGCCAACCTCGTTGGACCAATACTTATAGTAATGTTCTGTGGCATGCAGTGTTTCTCCCTCCATTCAAATTTTCATCTAACCTCAGCTTGATGAAATGAGATCTGCAGCAGCTAAGTCTTATTAGAAAAAATTAGGCCATCAATCCATTATTAAGCTGGAAAGCATTTTGTATTCTGTGTGTGCCCTCAGGGTGTCTCAACATTCCACGGCTGATCTGTCCTGAGTATGAGAGGGCTGGGGTTTAGGTGCTAAAAGATGTGTACAGATACTTAGGGAGTTGTGGGGTTTTTTAAAGCATTTGGTTTCCAGCCTTGCAATTAGCTAGAGCCTTGGCCCAGGTGTTTGTGACTGCAATCATTATGGTTCTATTGGTAAAGCTGCTTTTGAAAAAAATCTCCTGGTCTCTTTTATGCCTGTCGCTGCTATGACTGAGAGGTAGTGCCAGTTCTGTAGCACTGAGGAAATTTCCTGAGTTATAGGTAAAGTTCCTTTTCTTGTGTCCTAGCTAAGATCAGTGTACACGTGTTCTGCTCTTGATAACATTTTCTATCCAGCACTCTGAAAATTAAAAATCTGTCCCCAATTTGTACTGTATAGCTGTCTCTGTTTTAACTGTGATGCTTGTCAAAATGACCATCTTTTGTGTATTCTTATTAATTGCCTTTGTTATTTTTCTTTTTCAAAGACAATAGATCTTTCTATGAGATCCTTCATGCAGGTTGTTTCACAGAATCACAGAGGTGTTAGAATGCACCTCTGGCAATCATCTAGTGCAACCTCCTACTGAAAGCAGGGCCAACTATAGCAGGTTGCTCAGGTTGCCAACTATAGTCAGGTTTTGAATGTTTCCAAAGATGGAGACTCCACAACCTTTCTGGACAACTGGTTTCAGTGTTCAATAACCTTTACAGAGTTCTTATCTGAAAGAGTTAAAGAGTTATCATTTGGTGCTATGTACAGTACAGGAAGCAAGAGAGCAAAGCATCTAAAATTTTTAGCTGATTGTCAGGACCTTGGCCTTATTAACTAATTGTCTTTGGTGACTGATCCAGGCATTAGCATTATCATTTCAAAGGCATGACTTAGTACCAGAATAAAAAAATTATTCCAGTTCTGACTTGGATAATGTTCTGAGTGTTGAGGGGGGAAAAAGTATGGGGAGGATTACATTTTCTTAGTTGAGGTCATTTACTGCATTCTTGAAATGCCACATTTGGATGTTTGCATTCTTGCCTCATCACTGCCTCAACATGTCATATTGGATTTGGTGCAAGAAAGAGTTAATTTAAGACAACTTGTGCAAGCTGCTGCAGATAGTATGAGTCAAAGACAGTTTTTTCCAATAGCATTGTGCTTTGAGCCTAAGCTGCAAGAGGAACTGGCATGCCAGGAGTTGAAAAGAGACATCTCTGTTTTGTGCACATTCAACTTCCAAAGGCGGTGACTAGGGTAGAAAACCGATTTGAATATGAAATAAAGAGTTGCCCAGAGGAAGTAAAAAGTAATGACTATATCTATGTCCAAAAAGAGGTGGAGGGCACTGGATGAGGTGCCTGGCCTCTGTTCGTACTACTGTTGCTGACTCCCTGCCCTAAGATGATGTGCATGTTGGTACTCTTTAAAACTGATGACTTGTTGGGTTTTTTTTTTTGCTTTCAGTTGCTAGACTGGCATAGACCATACTCTTGTACTACTGTACTTCCTTTATAAATTGCTTTAAGATATTTTGGTGTGATAAGATGATACAAAAATTAAAGTCATTATTACTATCTGGATCACTAGGGGAATTGGACAGCTAGCATTGATCTGTCAGAGACTAATTTCCATATTTTTTTATTATATTAACCCATAGAATTATTCTTGTTTTGATTTCAAAGAAAGTTTCCCTAATCAAAAGGTCATCCTCCATAGCATGTAGTACTTCAGAGACATGGAAGGGGAAAAAATGTATATACTCTGTCATTTTTTATCTGATCAATGACATCTTGCTTTGTTAATAGTAATATCCCAGTATTTTACATTGCATCATATCAAGATCCCACTACCTGCTTCACAGAACACTTGTGAGTGAAATCTAGCAGTCATTGAAGGGTATACTACTAACTGCTTGGTTTAGGGCAAATATTGTGCACCCCTTTAGATTTTTGGCATTTATACTAAATTTTTTTAATTAAAATAATCATAAAAATTCTGTACTCATTGCTGGTCTGTATGGAAAGAGATTGAATAAGGGCCTAATCTTGCTGTGTTGAGTAACACTTTATGATGAGCTAAATCCATTCAAAAGCCACAGTAGCACAGAGACTTCTGTGTTGCAGAGGGAGTAACTTGCTCTTTGCTATCTTCCGATTTCAGAATAAAGCCTGAGAAATCAAAGAAAGGATTTTTAGTGCTTACAGTCAGAACTAGAGGAGGTAAAAAGTTGAGTCTTTTTAAAGAAGTGAACCAAATTATATGCCATTTTCCAAGTTAGTATCAGTGTAACTCCAGTGTGATTTGCTGGTATTGACCAGGGCACCTTTGGATAGCAAATGTATACACTGGGAATCAAGTAGAGGGCTGCAGGGCACTCCTCCCTGTACCAGTTCAGTGGTGAAGACCAAAGAAAGTAAATTTTGGTTTTCTTCCTAAGGTAAAGCTCTGCTTGATGCTCTGGCTCTCTGCTTGGTCCAAATACTTTCTTAGTGTTGGCTCAGTGAGTGTGCTGCCTTCCTCCTGTTTACTTATAGCATAGCAATACCCAAAAGAGTGGAGTCAGAAGTCCACTAGCGCAATCTGGGGAGTGTGGATTGTTTAATTTTTAATTTTTTTTTAACTTCTACAATCTCTGTGGTGACTATGGGTTCAATATTACCCTAATGCTAAAGATAAGTCACAAACTGGGAGTGATTACTTGCAAAGAGCATAGACTCCTTATAGTTGGACAAATGTCTTTTTATAGGTGGGCAAACATCTTTTTCAGGAATAATTTAAATATAACTGACAGTGTGAAGGGAAATTTGTGGCTATTCTTTCTCTTCCGCTGTGATAGGTTACTGTTGAGAGGGATTTGGAAGGCTGGCCCATGAAGTCCAGGGCTCTCCTGAGAAATGGAGCTATTATTCTGTAGACATACAGAATTACAACAATATTAATCCTCCGTATATCTTAAATTGATTAAATTGGTAAAAATCACTTTCACCAGTGGTTTCTTGACAGTAATGTAGATTCTTGAAAACAGGTGAGGGTCTATTTAGTCACCTGGACCAATTGTAGACTTATAGGGGATATCCCACCTGTAGGAGACCAGCTGGCACTTAAGAACAGCAATTGGTTGTCTAAAACGGCACAAGATGCCTATTTTACATGCCTAAATGTCTCACAAAGCACCAGAATGACACAGTAAATCAAAATAAAAGGGAGGAGTGGAATATAATCTCTGACAGCAAGGAAGTACCTAACTGATGAAACAAAACCTCTCAGACTGAGGTATTTCAGGGCTGAGAATTTTTTCTGTAGAAAATTATCCTGTCAGAATGAAAATATTGCCTTACTGGAAATCCTTGGGTGATTCTTCCTTTTTGCCTTTTGCATCCAGGCCGTGCTTTGCTGAGACTTACTGACAAAAAGCTTGAACGAATGGGCATTGCCCAGGAAAGCCTGCGACAGCACATTCTGCAGCAAGTCCTTCAGCTGAAGGTGAGGGAAGAAGTCCGAAACCTCCAGCTGCTTACACAAGGTATGAAAAACAATTTTGGTATGGACAGTTATTGAGATCAGGCAGGAGAAGTTTGCCTAAGGACATAAAAGGTGACTTGACGTTCTCCTGAAAGAAATGGTGCATGAAAATGTCTCATAGATTCCACATGCTTTCCAAGGTGGGAACAAAAGGTAAAATAATGCATAAATAAATAGAGATGTTCAGCTGCCTGTTTTGCATGATGAATAGGCTCCATCTACAGCTTGATAGTAGCCTTACTTAACTGTCTGCTTGCTAAGATGAAAATAATTACATATAAAGGGCAGAATTAGTGAACATGCTGTCTTTACAGACATAGTACATTTTGCATTAATTGTTTACTTTCGGTGTTAGATAAAAGAGTAATCTCTGTAACATGTTTTATGGTAAGAGCTGTCAGTGGAAAATTACCTGTTAGACTGTTTTTTGCAGATGGCTGATTCTTTTTGCCTGTTGTAATTTTATTGACTTGAATAGAGTTGCTTCTAATTTATGCTGCTAAGAAAATGCAAAACTGGGCTCAATATGGAGACCTTGATTAGAAGACAGGGAAGAAGGAGTAACAAAAAATCTCATACTTATTTTCCAAATGAGGTTAAGATGTTTTATGATGACGTGTGTTATTAGCTCTCTATTAAGGCTTTCTAACAGCTGTGGTAACATGGAAGAAAAGCAATCATTGTGGCAATAGTTCAAAGGAACATTTAGAGATCCTCTACAATCTACTATTTGCAATACTTTCTCAATGTTAAATGTTGTTTGGTAGTCCAGTGAGATAGCATTAACCACATACTTCTGTGGTGTTTTGGTTCAGTGCCCATTATATGTCACATCGTATGAAAAAAATAGAGTTCTTCAGTACATGCAGTGTATTTTTAACAAAATGTCCTTCACACATGGCATTATGTTCCTTATTAAGCCTTGCTCACTGTGTTTCGGGAAGAGCTTTCTGATTAGTTGAGTAAGCTTCATTTTATCTGAGAGAGATGTCTCAACTGAATTGTTCCTTCAGACTTGGTGTCTTGTTGATTGTGATGAGGAGCTTTAGGGCTCCTTCATTTTGCCATGATCTGTGAATATAATCTCACCTCATCTTGTGTCATGTCAAAGACAGTGCACACACTGAAGCATCAGTGTCTTCCCCAGATGTTTAGAACTGTTTTTTTCCCCTCATCCTTTCATCACAGATTCACAGAATTGTCTATGTTGGAAAAGACCTTGAAGATCATCCAGTTCAACCATCAACCCAACATTAACAGTTCCCAACTACACCAGATCCCTCAGTGCTATGTCAACCCTACTCTTAAACACCTCCAGGGATGGGGACTCCACCACCTCCCTGGGCAGCCCATTCCGATGCCTGACAACACGTTCTGTAAATAAGTGCTTCCTGATCCTTTCATCCATTATTCCTACGTCCTTTTCAGTTGTCTGGGTTCTCTCTTCACCTACATCTGGAGTGTCATTTGAGAGTTTGCTGGACTGTGAAGTTCTGGTCACCAACAATCACTGTTTTAGGCCTGCTTATGAAAGTTGAGATTTTATTGATATGGGACAATGAAGACCCACTAGCTGTAAATTTGGGTCAGTTGATCACTGCAGTCCCTATAGATTTCTCCATAAACCTGTATTTGGCATTGAGAGCTATATGGTTCCAGGCTTCTCCTTTATTGTTTCTTTCTGGTTCTTCTCTGGACACATCAACTGGTGTATGAATAATGATCAGGCAGGCAGTGGCAACTGGCCTTTCAAGGAATTCAGGACAACATCCTTTGAGATTTATTCCTTGCACATGAAGTTGAGGATACAGTTCTGAACTTTGCTAAGAGGATGAATAAACACATGCTGGACTATGAAGGACAGGCTAGTGATAGATGTACGGATGTGTGTTTAAAGTAGTGTGTCTCTGCCATGTAGAGAGAACATTGTTAGCTAGCCTGATCATATAAAGTCATGTCATCATATGCTTTAAAAAGGCCAGCACAAACTTAGAAAAAGCTGGTGGTCTGCAGTTCCTGCTGTCTTCCCCCACGATGCCGCTGGACTTTGTGTTGCACTTCAGCTCTTCTCCAGCCTTCTTAAATGGAGCTGAAGTTATGGGGCAGTACAACAGTCCATAAAACATTCCCCTGTGCAGCAGAACTGCGTTAATTGTATGATCCTGGAGTGGGGTGGGGTGGTGCACAGTGAGTGGTAGGATGACAGAAGTATTCCTATCCCTTATCACCTCATTTACACTAAATTGGAGTGTGTGTCAGTTGAAAGTGCTTGTTTGCAGGTATTAAGGTTAAGATACAATTTCTCAACTACAGTGCAGTCTGTAAAGTTGTGTGTATGTCAGTTGTTCTTCAAAACTGGTTCTGTCCCATTGCCCAGTTTCTTCAAACTGTGTCCACTCATATTCTTACTATGATTGCTACTGGAATAGTTTTTTGTAAATGCTTTTCTGTTTTTGAGAACATTTTACCTCTGAAAAGTAACATATTTGCATGCCAGGAGTTTCTGCCTTTTGGAAATTCCACTTGAATATTGCAGGTCACAGTGTAGCTGTTGTTACAATGGTGCTTTTGCTGTCCTCCAAAACGTCCTCTAAAAAGAGGAGAAAAAAAGCCCTCTGTCTGTCAGTCTATAACTCAGGAGATCATTAGGTGAAAGAAGGTGTTAAAACCCCTTTCTGAATTAATTTAGCACACAAGCTGGGTTGCAAGCAATGAGGCCCTAATTCAGAGCCCACTGATGTCAGCGAAAAGTCTTCCACTGACTTTAGTTCATACCCCAATTGAAGCTGGAGTGAACAGGGAAAGTTTTAAAAAAGCATTATGTAATACTTATCGGATATTTTAAGTGGTTTTGTGTTCTGTTGTATGCAGAGAAATTTAACCTCATTTTTAAATCTCAATAGAAAACTAACATTCTTTTCTACTCCTGTTTCAGAAAATAACTTAAAACTGTTTCATTCTTCTTCATTCAGGACACACCATCCATTCTGTTCTGGGAACCTTAGAGCCAGAATAGTATGTGATTGTGTAATTGAAGGCTTGTCTTGAGTTTTAGGAAGACTTTTCTTTGGAGTAAGAACTGCCTGATTGAGGCTATTATCAGCAGAAATGCTATTCCAACCTCCACTAGGATAGAAGGGCACAGGCCCAACTACTGATGTGTGCTTTTTTCCCAGACTTAGTGATGTTGAGGAACTAATTTGACAAAATATCTTCCAGTGTCTCTTGGGGAGAGCTGCACACTGTTGGAAACACCATTATTGTACTCTTATCACTGTAAGCCTGAGTTGAAAGATCTTTTTTTTTTTTAAAAGCCTTACATAACTACACAGAGAAGACGTTATTTTGAGCTTTTTCAGTGTGAGTCCTGCTTTTGACTAGCATAGAAGAGACTGTCCTCAAAGTGGTACAACAGTGCTGTGTGTGTTTCTGAGCAAAGTATCCATAGCCAGCAATCTGCTAATAAGGCTGAGCTTAAGAAGCATTTTTGGATTTGGATTAAATGACACCTGTATTTAAAATGACGCTGAGTCCCCTCCTAAGCTCTTCTGTGAGTTTTATATGGAGCAAAGTGCTACTTGAATATACTGCCAGGCCACAGAATGTGACAAATTTTCTTAAAAAAAAAAATTATCCTGCTAGCAAAATGTGTTAGAATAAGGCTTTGTGCTTCACTGAAAATCGTCACAGCTGTTGATACTTGTTGAAATTATTTCTTCAGTAAGTTTTCTGCTCATCCTGCACTGATTCTCAGCTACTGAAAAACATAAGTGCCTAATGGTAACCACAATGAAACTGATTTTTTTTTCCTTCCTTCAATTTCCAAAATAGTCCCATTCAAAACCTGTTACAGTACCCTAGCACTGTATTCTTTCAGGAAGGGAACTAGAGGGCCTTCAAAGATGCAGCTCATTTTCTGAGGAAGGATGAAGTATGAGCCATGTATTCTAGTGATGGATCACTCACTGGGTTTTAGTGAAACCTTTAAACAGAAACATTTTCTTCAGGGTTGATGTGGTGAGTATACCAGGACCATGAAAACCCCCTAGCTGAAACATGTTATAAGGATTTTTACAGTATTATCAGCCTTTTAATACTAGAGTAAAGGCAGGCTTGATCAAAATTTGAGCTGTTTGGCACTGAACTCTCCGAGGCTGTCAGAAACATGATGCTAGTTCCTGTTCACCTTACCTGCTTCTTCCTTGTGAATGTTGAAGGTGGGAGGAACCTGAGCACTGCCATTCCAGCTTGCATCACCTCATGTGAAGAGATTTGTTGTCATTTTTCAAAGCCTTGGAGTACTGGGCTCACTCCCATCTTCTGAATTCCCACATATGAAGACCTTCCCTGATGTGACGGCTCCAGTACACACCATGAATGATTGGGAGTTACACATCTGCCTAGAAAGGGACTTGAGTGGTCAGAAAGTTTGAAAGAACGTGTGACTTTGCAAAGCGCAGAACTGGAAGGTCATCTGGAGTTAACAGCGGATGATTGCGGCTTGTTGTCTCCCTGCTATGTAGGCTTTTTGGATACTGTGGTGTCTGAACTGCTGTTGCCTACTGTCCTTCATGTCCTCCGAAGAAGTATTGCTTGAGGTCAACACATTTCTTTGTCATCCCTGTAAAGAAGTCAGAACAACTGAGGTGTGTGATAGAGGGTCATCCTGTTACACTTGCAGGATGTACTATTTTCTTTCCTGGGTATGTTCTGGACTCGGGGTTTTGGCACATGAGGAGTCATGAGTTCCTTCCGCCAGAAATACTCTCTTTTTTTTCTGTAAAAAACAGCAGATGTTGTCTTGGTGAGCGCTCCAGGTAGGCAGTGTGTTCGCCTTCCCAGGCAGCTGGCAGGGGAAGTATGTAACACTTGAGGAATCTTGGTTTCATGTCCCTGTGGTGGTGTTCAGAGGCATGCAGCATTTGAAATGTTGACTGTCCTCTTACCAGGCACCCGTTCTTTTGTTTTCATTGTCTTGACCTCACCTTTTTCTTTTCCTTA